TTTGGGTTCTAGGTTTTTTTTTTTTTTTGCTCTCTAGGGTTTTTTTAGGTTAAGAGGGGAAGATGAAGGGTCTTAGGGTTTCAGCTCCTAAAAAACGACTGACCTCTCTTTCTTTGTGTAGTCTAGGGTTTTTTTATGTCTCCCCCTTGAAAATGTGTGTTAGGGTGTATAAGAAGAAGGGGAAGTGGGTCTTAGGGTTTGGGCTTTAAAATTGGGGCATCTCTTTGGACCTCTTCAATTAAGACCAAACAACATTAGCCTCAAATTTCATACTCTTTCTTTTAAAACAAGACTAAAAATACTACACCATTTACTAATTAATCCTACTTAAGTAAAATAACTATTATAATAAAATTAACCATTAAAACAAACATATTTTTTGGTATTTATCAAATATCATACTAAAAGATAAAAAATGAAAAAATCATTGTAAAATTAAAATAATATTCCTGAAAATAAAGCGAAAGTATTTTTATATTTTTGAATTTTATGTAAGGTAGAAAAATTAAAAAATAAAATATTAATTAGCTAAATAAAAGAAAATATTTTTATAATTTCCATTTTTGTGATAAAATAAAGTAAAAGAGTTAAAACTATTTAGAATAGCAATACTAAATCTAAACTAAATATTTTACGCTAAAAATGTGTAAAATCTTGGGGATGGTAAAAAATTACATGTCTACAATAGGTACGAGTAAAAGTGTCTAGAAGACAAGAAGGAACGGTTGCTAGGGTCTCTTCATAATTTGAAGAGACACCGGTGGAATGAACCAAGACAGCAAAAAGTACAACTTCGCTAAATCTTCAATTAATGAGCATGAATGATTGGAAACGTTACAGAATCTTTACGAAACAGTTACGATTGCTAATTATAACGTTTTATTAATGTCATTAAACGCTCATAATGACTCGATTATGAGAGGGAAGAGATGTTGTACTTAGAAATAGCTATAAATGGAAGAGAAATGACATATGTATGGACACATTCTGATTACTATTGAAATATACTTGTTTACTTTGCTTTATATCGATTACTTTGCTATTACACATTCTAATTTTTTTTGTAACGACTTGGCCGGTCGTCTTAAGAATTAACGCCCCGATCCCCTAGAAACTGCTTTCCCCGAATTTATTTTTGCTATTTTGATTTGACGGGATGTTCGATTTTGAGTTTCAGAGAGTTCTGGGACACTTAGTCCCTAAATGAGAGCTTAAGTGTTGGAGAGTTGACCGTAGTCAGAGCAGTGTGAAGACGGCCTCCGAATGGAAATACGATAGTTCTGTTAGCTCTGTTGGGTGATTTCGGGCTTAGGGGCGTGTTCGAATTGTGTTTTGGAGGTCCGTAGCTAATTTAGGCTTGAAATGCCGAAAATTGAATTTTTGAAGTTTCTGGTCCGATAGTGAGATTTTGATCCGCGGGTCGGAATGGAATTCCAGAAGTTGGAGTAGCTCCGTAGTGTTGAATGTGACGTGTGTGAAAAATTTTAGGTCATTTGGACGAGGTTTGATAAACTTTCTGATCGAAAGCGTATTTTAAGAGTTTTTGGAATTCTTAGGCTTGAATCCAATGAAATATAGGTGTTTTGATGTTGTTTTGAGCGTTCCAAAGGTTGGAACAAGTTTGAATGATGTTTTAGGATTGGTTGGCAAGTTTGGTTGGGGTACCGGGGGCCTCGGGTGTGTTCCGGATGCTCAATGGACCATTTTTGGACTTGGAAAGATTGCACATTTTTTGTTGTTGTGTTGCAGAGAAAACCTTCATCGTGTTCGCGATGATGTCCTGCGTTCGCGAAGGTAAGGACCCGTTGGTCTTCGCGTTCGTGACATGGTCCTCGTGTTCGCATAGGGTCTGCCCGTGTAAGCTACGCGAGTGGACCTCGCGTTCGCGAAAGAGGTATTTGGCCAGCGGGACTTTTGTGCATCGCGTTCGTGATAGTAGCCTCGCGTTCACGAAGAAGGAATTACCTGGGCAGATATAAGATTTCAAAATCGAGGGTTTGGCCATTTTTATCAAAACTTAAGTTTGGGAGATCAGATTTGAGCGAGATTTTGAGGGATTTTCAGAGATATCGATTGGGTAACGATTCTAGACTCCTTTTTGCTTGTAACCCATTAATCTTAACATGAATTCATCCTTTAATTTCGAAATTTGTATGAAAATTGGGGAAAAGTTCTTAAACTAAGAAATTGAGTTTTGATTGGGGATTTGACATCGGATTTGGATAATTTTGGTATGGTTAGACTTGCGATAGTTTGAGGATTCTGAAACTATCAATTTTACCCGATTCTGAGATGTGGGCCCGAGGGGCGTTTTGGTCATTTTACATAATTTTGCGTATTAGCTTAGACTTTAATTGTAGAATCAGTTACTTGAAGTGTTATTTACATTATGAAATTAAATTGAATAGATCTGGGCCATTTGGAGTCGAGTACTCGTGGCAAGAGCATGGTTTTGGATTGATTTTTGAGCCGGTTCGAGGTAAGTGGCTTGTCTAACCTTGTGGGGGGATCTTCCCCTTAGGATTGGTATATTTGGTAATTGAAATGCCTTGTACGTGAGGTGACGAGTGTGTACTTGTGCTAATTGTTGGAAATCCGGTTTTCTTTAACTAATTACTAGTATGTTTCCTTTCCTGTCTCTATTACTTGCATTATTAAGCCTGTTGTTAGCTTAGGAAAGCATGTCTAAGTGACTTAATTGCTTTATTTGTTCACCTGCCTTACTTGAATTCTGTGAAGCATGCTAGGCTAGAATCACTTGTTGCCTTAATATGAAGTCTTGCCATTTCTGTATATTTTCCGGTAGCTCCCCCTTGTCTGTTTATTTTGGGACTACGAATGTGGGATTCTGATAGCTCTCCCTTGTTTGTTTATTTTGGGACTACGGATGTGGGATTCCGATAGCTCCCCCCTTGTCTGTTTATTTTGGGACTACAGATGTGGGATTCCGGTAGATCCCCCTACATAGTTATATGGAACTACGGGAATGCACCCGGTAGATTCCCCAAGTACTGGGTATTTACATTTGGGACTATAGAACAAGATTCCGATAGATCCCCACGCACTATGAGTTGGACTACGGGATGGGATCCCGGGAGCTCCACTGGATATGTACATATGGGACTACAGGACGGTATCCTGGGAAATCCCTGATTGTTATTATTGGTGGTGAGCTGTATTTCCTTTCCATGTTTACCTTTTTTCTGTGTAGTTGTTGATGTCCTGTACATCCTATGTAATTTTATAGTCGTACTTATTTATATTGTTCTGTTCTTTACTGTTGATCTTTATATTTTAATTAACCTCAGTAGGGCCCTGACCTTCCTCATCACTACCCAACCGAGGTTAGGCTTGGCACTTACTGAGTACCATTGTAGTGTACTCGTGCTCCTTCTGCTCATGTTTTCATTTGCAGATCCAGGTAACGCTACTCAGGCCTACCATCCTTGAGGGAGGCGACTGCTCTAGAGACTTCGAGGTACATCTATCGTGTCCCAGACCGAGAAGTCCCTTTCTATTCATGCTTTTAGTATTTAGCCCTTCTGTACTTTCCTATTCTTATTAGACATTCCGGAGTTAGAGCTATGTAGTATTGATCTTAGCTTGTGATTCGTGGGTTTCCGGGTTTTGTATTTATGTATTGGTATTGAGGGTTAAACATGGTGTAAGCCGAGCAGCAAATTTAAACACTATTACTACTTTATTTCTGTCTTAATTGTTTACTTCCACAAATTTTGGTTTTTCTTCCGCAAATTAGGCTTACCTAGTCGTAGAGACTAGGTGTCATCACGATGGTTCACGGAGGGCGAACCGGGGTCGTGACAAGTTGGTATCAGAGATCTAGGTTCATAGGAATCATGGATCACAAGCCGGTTTATTAGAGTCTCGCTAATCGGTACGGAGACGTCTGTACTTATCTACTAGAGGCTATGTAACTGTTAGGAAAATTTCACTTCATTTGATTTCCTTGTCGTGCGATATTTTGACATCACAATTCTAAACTTCTATCTTCTATTCTCTCATAGATGGTGAGGACACGTGCTACCCGAGATGATCAGGCACCCGGACCCCCTACCGTAGCCATCAGAGGCTGGGGCCGGGGTAGAGGCCGAGGACGCGTACGTGGTGCAGCCAGAGCACATGTGCGAGCTGCCACCGAGGTACCACCCGTAGTTCCAACCGGAGTGCAGGCACCTGACACGCCTACTGCTACTACTATTCCAGCTCTTCAGGATACTTTGGCGCAGTTCATGAGCATGTACACCACCTTGGCTCAAGCAGGGTTACTTTCCCTTGCTATAGCCACATCTCAGGCCGGGGGAGGAGCACCGACTCCCGCCGACCGCACTCCTGAGCAGCGAGTGCATGTTGAGAAGGTCCCTGAGATTATTTCAGTGCC